CCATTTAATAGTATCGAAAGAAAATCATTTTCCACAAAAAATATCCTGACATGTCGAATGTCACGTTATGCTTTGAAAGTGTAAATGACGCAGGGAATTCGAATTCGAATGTTCTCGCACAGCATCACTTATTCTCAGTCTCAGTTTGATTCGACACCAGAAATGATAGAAAGATAGATATATAGATAATTTATTCATTTCTACAGAGTTGTCTTACGCGTCTGAGAAGTGAGTCACATATAAACAGTTCAAAATTTAGTATAAACAGCTCATAATGCTCAGTATAAAAGATTGACAAATCATTCTCTCGATATTCTTTTGCTCCTCAAACTTCGTCGAGCATTATTATTGACAAAAGAGATAATGTTGAAAAATCATTGATACTTGAAAGCATCACAAAAAAATTCATAATTCCAGGATTTTTCTCGTGAAGAATGGATCTGTTTGGGTACCTTCGAATGAAAATTGAGAATAAATAGTACAAGAGTCAAATAATATCTCACCAAATGGGAGAGGAACTGATAACGTATACAACCGGAAGTCAAAATATTCTGAAACCAAAATTTTCAAGCGTGTTTCTGAATCACTCATTTTCAGAGCAAGAAGAATATTGTGATCGATGAGAGAGAATAAGAGAATTGTTGATGCATCCCCAATTCTCATTCACAGAGATATCTACCAAAAAATATACCATATCGAAATAATCAACCTGATTGCTAGAATATCGGGATTGTTTCATGACAGCACATCATTCTTCAGGGTTAGAGAAAAATATTTCATCTGTGTGACCATTCAAACGTTTGAAATACAATTGAAGACTTTGAACATGGCAGAAATTGCCATGTCCATTTACAAGTTCGTATTCGAGCCTGCATAGGACTCTAAAATTACCCTGTATCGATAGGTTTCTATCGAGCCCGCATTTTTTTCCAAGGTGGATTCATCCTTCTTTTTGGGTCTTGCCATTCTGCGCAGAGACTCTGGTCCAGCTTCCGATGCCGGATCTTTCTTTGTATTCTTGAACCAGAACTGCACCTGTCTAAAGCCGAAAGCAGGCGGGAGTGTCTAATTCCGCTCTAATTCCTTTATAGATTCATCGTCCAGTAAGGATGTTCACGGCTGTCCTATATCTGCGCTTTTCCTGTGTAGACTAGTCCACTTCTTGGTACACAGTGTATGGATGTGTATGGTTTCACCTATGTCCCTGTCAGTTTTTGTAGCCCTTCATCATATACCGGGTGTAACAGGATCATGGTACACCCCCCGTATCTCCGTTAGTTTCAGAGGTAATTGATTGAGATTTGGGATATTCCATATACATAATAAGAGGCACTTTTTGACCTACAAATGATTTTCTTTTCAATTCCGGTTTCGCCGGAAGTGATACCAACTTTCGATTTTCAAATGGAACACCCAGTATACCTATTATTACATTTCTGAAATCTGCATAATTTTCTGAATCCAATAATACCACATTAGTGACATTTCAAACGTAAAAGTGTTTAATATTTTAATTTTTAGTTCTCCATTAAAGTGTGCAATGATGGTTCCGATTTATTCCAATTGACCCGTCTAATGCTAGAAAAATTGAAATCCTCTCAAAAATACTAAATTGCGTTTTTTATGAGCAAATAAAGTTCATCGTGATCGATTTTGGAGTAAAACACAATTTTTTCAAATGGAACCATATTGGTACCGTGGTACCATTTATTGGTACTATTAATAAGCAATTTATCCATACCTGCTAATAAAATGTGCGATAAATACAATCAAAATCACAGCTGAAAGAAAATAAGAAGATACAATTATTTTGGTCTAATTTAATGCTAAGAAGTTATTGGGGTGGCTTTGAATTACAAAAAAATTCTATCAGGATATCGGTCGGCATAAAGGTTTCTACCCGCAACGGCATTTTTTCTACATTCCCAATAAATAATTAACATGTTCACTTTTTCATCCCTTGTATGAATGTGCGGTATTTTGAACGTGAATAACAACAAATGTAAAGACTTTTCCAATACACAATGACATCACCGATAAACCACCGATGAACCAACATTTATTTGACAATCTGAAGGAATAATTTCATTGTTTTCAAAGACAAAATAATTGTATTTTCTTATTTTCTTTCAGCTGTGATTCTGATTGTATTTATCGCACATTTCATTAGCAGGTATGAATAAATTGCTTATCAATAGTACTAATAAATGGTACCACGGTACCAATATGGTTCCATTTGAAAAAATTGAGTTTTACCCGAAAATCGATTACGATGAACTTTATTTGCTCATAAAAAACGCAATTTTGTATTTTCGAGAGGATTTTGATTTTTGTAGCATTAGACGGGTCAATTGGAATAAATCGGAACCATCATGGCACACTTAAATGGAAAACGAAAAATAAAAATATTAAAAATTTTTACGTTTGAAATGTCACTTATGTGGTATCATTGGATTCAGAAAATTATGCAGATTTCAGAAATTCAATAATATACTGGGTGTTATATTTAAAAATCGAAAGTTGGTATCACTTCCGGCGAAAACGGAAGTGGTGAAAAAATCATTTGTAGTTCAAAAAGTGCCTCTCATTATGTATATGGGATATCCCAAATTCCAATCAATTACCTCTGAAACTAACGGAGATACAGGGAGTGTACCATGATCCTGTTGCACCCGGTATGATGGAGGCGACGCAGATGTAGGGATATATTATTATATGCTGTCACCTAATGACATATTTGACGGTGCAGAAACATTGATATGGATCTGATGCCAAAATTTTGCAGATCTTCCTCGAATGCAATTGGAATTGCACTACACCTTTTCCAGATGTATTCAAGAATACGTCAATTCAATTTCAGCTAGCGTCAATCATTTTTCAGGATAGTCACTTGTATCAGGTACAGAGAGTATTATTTGTATTCCAGAATAAAAAAGTCAATTGAAATTTAGAAGGCGTCAATTGTATTTCTTCATTTCAGTGAAATTGAATTGACGCTTTATGAAATTCAATCGACTATTCTGTAATACAACTGATGCTTTCTGAAACACAACTTCTGAATATAGATCGACGTTCTCTGGAATTAAACTGGGGGAGCTGTGATTGTTTCCGATTCTAGATATTTCAAATAATATGAGGCAACAATCCACAAACATTTTGGCATTATTGGACACCCATAAAAAATTAATAACATTTCATTCATAGTCTTCTCAAAACCCCGAAAGTTTCGGATCAATATGCACATGATGCACACGAACAATGAATAATCTTTCAGTGTTATTCAAGAACTCTGAATTCATGGACCAGCCAGTAACCATCATGTACCCAGCCGTGTACCTACTTTCCAGAAAACCTTCTGAGCACCCAAATTATATTGGGATAATTTCACATTATCGCCAGTTTGCAGTCAATTCCATTTTGGGTAAACAGTCTACTTGCAATGAATCTCTATACAAGTGGAATCTGTTATCTTTTTGTCCTATTCAACAAACAATAATTCGGAACATCAGATGTCATACTCCATACTAATATGTTAGGCAATCAAATTCAGGCCGCAACGTACTGTCATCAGGTGTTGGCTAACACCAACTCACATGGAATAAAAAAGAGTATATATCCTCCGATATATCTGAATGTTTTGTGAATCACTACTACTCCAAAGTTGGTTACCAAATCCCCAGAAGTCGAACCTTGCGCGAGACCGGGAAGAGCGAGTCCCACAGCTCACAGCGAATTCTCAAACACCTCTAAAGCTCCTATATACTGCTATGATAACAATCAAGGATTACACATTTCCATGAAAATATGCTCGGCCACGTCGGATTCGAACCGACAGCACCTCTGCATCATACACAGCTGGCAAATGAAGCGCCATAGACAACTCACAAACATCATGCAATTTCACAATCATTCAGCATCTAGACGAATACTGAACCAAAAATCGAGAAAAAAGGAATGAAGTAACAATTCTTCAGTCTCAATTGATTTCTGCGAGGAGTGTTTTCACCAAATTATTCCTATATCGAGCCACTTCCTTACCAGGACAGTGCGTCGAAAATACCCAGATTTTTTTCACATGGACGAGTCACAAAATGTTGAAATTCTTGAAATCTTTCTGGTCGAACCTTGGCAGTCACCCATTTGTACACGGAAACGACACTTTCTCACGAATGAGCGATGACTCATTCTTCCCATTGAGTTGAAGTACGACATTTCGTGCTGCTATGGCCTCCACTTGTTGAACCACGTAAGTTCCCGTACCCGTAGTCGAAAAGTCCTCATCGAACTTATTTTCTCACTTTTTTTAAACAATGCCAACACTACGCTGGGACCATAGCACTTCTGATATCGAATTCTCATTGATAGAGGTGAATTTGAATTACATTGTAATCAAACCACCACTGGTGAGCAGACTTAATAGCTGTATCAATCAAAATCTAAATGACCAATTGAATCGCATGACAAGTAATGAGCAAGATATCAATACCAATGACAACAAGCATACAAGCTACCTCGATAGGAAGTGTATTCAAATCCGAATTTAGCAAAGAACAAGCAATTTGGCGCCGGCCTTCCTACTCTGCTCTCCGGTTGATAACTAACTGAAGCATATTTTTTATTTATTCTCCCTGTTCCCACTTTGTCCGATCTATGATAGCGGTATAAGTGAATTATTTCTCATTCTATACACTCAACATAGTTGATATCCAACATGACCATAAAATAAACAGTTTACGTTAGCTTATAGTGAAATAAGCAAAAGATGTAGTTCTTTTCGATAAAAAACACCTTTTATATGTTCATTTCGATCACTATGTATGCTTTTCATGTAATAAGCATATAAATGAATTCATAGCTAGCAACCCGTCTCAATTTGAAGACTCAATTTTCTAGACATCAAAGATAGTACCGACCTAGAGCTTGACCATTGGCAACATTCCAATGAACGTTGAGAATAAATAAGTAAAAACACTAAATAATGACATTTATTTTGATTCCAGATTGCTGGCATTGGTTTGGCCATTTATGGAAGCTGTTCCACCTACCTCATCCTCATTTCAAATAGCGAAATGATAATCCGGGATTATGGGACCATAGTCCCATCCGTTATGACTGTTATCTTTGGCCTAGCTCTGATCATATTCGTTTTCCTGGGATGTTGCGGAGTATGCAGAGAATCTACTTGTTGCATGGAAACGGTATGTAAATTCAAGGTGGAATTGGAATAAGAACATTCAAAATTGAGCCCTAAGTAGGCTTAAGGTATACTATCGAATGACACCATTGAAACAAAAATAGGGGTCAAAATAAGATTCGAAACAAGATCTGCTTTTCCGCCCAGAATTCTACTCATCCATAGCAAATCGCTCATGGCAGGCATATCGAAGGAAGATGATCGTAGAGAACAAAGCGATGTTGCCAAAAGTTCATAAATTTTCATTTAGTATGAATGTCCACTCCAAGATTTATATTTGGGACAATACTGAATCAGTATCCTAATTTTCTTGAAACATTCTCAAAAATTTCATGTTCTTTGGACAAGAAGTGATTCTTCTGAATTAGGCATCTTTCAGAAGTAACCTACATCAAAATAATATATATTATTATTTTGTCGTGTTTCCACGAATGTTTTTAGAAACGTTCACAGATTATTATTTGTAGGTGGAATTATCATTGAGTATGAACTTACATAGATAAGTACAAAAAAGCTCCGAGTCATGAAATCAAGGAAAATGATAGATGATGGGAAAGAAATCAATTAATTTCCTGACTCATGCTACGCAGTACATGGATTTACATTCTCCCGAAATCGTTTCATCGATACGTAGAAACTAATACCAATGCAAGTGTTTCTTCCCATAATGCCAAGTGATTTCGATCTAGCCAGGTTGATGCAATGACACTTACATACCAGTTTCGAGCATCTTCGGTTTCCATCAGTGCATGGTAGTCTCCAGATAGCAGTCATATCATTGTTTTTCCCGAAATAGTGTGAAAAAAAATTCTTGCACTAGTTTGAGAAACATTTTCTCGTACTGTTGGGGAAAAATGATACATCCCAAGCTGAATTGCATGCGGATGAAGGAGGAATCACGCAAGCTTGTAGAGAAATTAATTCATATCAAACTCTCTCGTTTCCTCTTTGCATTAAAAGAGTTGGATCTGGTCGTTTCCCGAATGATTTGCTGGGGAGGTGACTTGAACTGAGTGAATATTTTATGAGGGACAGCCTCTATTGGTTGGTTGTGAATGGTTGTTATTTGTTATATATGTATATGTGTTATATATATAGAACAAATTTTTTTTAAAATTTATATATGTATATATGTTATATGAGGTATGGCCTCTATTGATTGGTTGTAACTGGTTGTTATTTGTTCCACAGTAAAAGGTTCAATCAAACGAATTATTATAAGTAGTCTGCGATATGTACGAAATTATTTTTGGTATTTTTTATCATTCTGGAAACATCTACTATTATTGTGCTCCTGAGCAGAGTGGTCCATTGGTTCTAATTTTGGTAGTTAGTATTGTAACGATAATTTCCTTTTTCATTGTGATATGCATTTTGAGAATGAGCTACTCCGACGTGATACATATCATTCGAGTATGCTGAATATTCTTCTGAAATTTTCAGCTCTTAATGCTATTTTTACAGCATCGTTATTCCTTGTTACCCTTGATTATAGGACAAAATTTATATATTCTCTATTGAGACCATTTTCGAAAAACTTCAGTGCTTCTTGATCGGTTTAGTTCAAAATAGTCTGGCGTGCATCGTCACCCTGATATATACAGGGTGGCCCACTTATGCTCGCTCGGACCATAGCTGCTATGCTGATAGAGATAGAAAAAAAAATTCATCGGAAGTTATTGGAGACTTCATAAGCTACTCTTCAAAATTATTTTCTAGTATACAGGGTGCACCATGAATCCGGGGTGAAAGAATCGATCGTTTTTTTAAATGGCACACCCTGTATATTATTTCATTTTTTGAATGTCTCTCATGTGGGCTTCACTAACCTATTTTGTTCTTGAAGATCAGATGCGACGTTGTCAAGTTATTAACATTTTAATCAAATTTTACGAGAAAACATGAATGTTGAAAAATATTCAGGGAAACTATATTTTCGAAGATTCAAGAACAAAACTGGGTATACAGATACTGAAAGTATGTGTAGAAACTCAGATATTATTTGGGTTCACCCAAAATATACAGAGTGTTTAAAAATAAGGACCGAATTTCGCTATTTCCAAATCGCCGAAACACATTTTTTTCAAATGGATCACCCTGTATATTATTCCATAATCTGAAAGCTCATCCAATGGGCTTTCCGTTGATACCATATAGACCGTATCTAACGATACTCTTCGATAGGTAAATAACGATAAATCAATTCAACTGTACAATTTTATTCAAAAACAATAACAAACCTAGGGAAAATTCAACTGACAATCAGAAATGTTCAAACTCATAGAACATATCAGTTCATGAGATGTTCAAAATGTGTTCCATTCTGCTGGATACAATTTTGAGCTCGATGTTTAATCGAATTCCTTACTTTTGACAACATTTCTGGTGTTATATTTGCAAAAGTATCCCTTATCCTCATCTTCATGTTTTCTTTCGTTGTTACTGGTTCCGAATACACTTTGTTCTTCACATAGCCCCATAAGAAGGAATCGCAAGGGGTCAAGTCTGGCGACCTTGCAGGCCAGTGTATTGGACCTCCTCTACCAATCCACCTATCTTGAAAACGATCATTCAACCACTGGCGGACTGGTGCTAGACCATCTTTCTTGGGAAGTGGTTCTGAATAAATGAGGATTTTGATCCGAATAATAATGATAGTTATGACGATTCACCGCCCCATTCTTGTGAAATGTAGACTCATCAGTGTAAAGAACCTTTCTCGAAAAATTTCTGTCAGTGTTGATCTTCTCAATTAACCACCTACAATGTTCTATTCTGCGATTGAAATCCTGTGGTAGAAGTTCCTGGTGTAATTGTATATGGAATGGATGAAATTTATGTTTCATTATTATGCGTTGAACTGAAGTTCTTGAAATTTCTACATATTGGCTCAATTCTCTGCTACTTATATTCGGGTTTTCAACCACAGCCGTCATTACCATCATCTCGTTCTCTTCGGTTAAAACAGTAGCTCGCTTTTTATGTTTCATATAATTCACTGAACCACTACTATTGAATCTATCAGCTAGATTTGAAAAGCAGTCAACTTTTGGGCGTCTTTTGTCAGGATATCGTTGGGCATATACTCTACTTGCCAAAAGACAGTTCTTTTGACACTCACCCAAGATGTATATCATTTCAATCAATTCGTCCTTTGTATAATTCATTACCAAACAGTAATGTGCAACACCAAGAAGAGTAACTGACAACTGTATATGTCACTAAAGCTTCTGTTGAAATGTAATTGATGAATCTTGTTGTAGAAACTGTCAAGATGTTCATCTGTTTTCAGTGATTGCTTTTCATTCATCTCGAAAGAGTGATAAACAATAATTATCCACGTGAATTGAGCTATCTAAATAAAACAATCAAAGATTGACTCCGAAAAACATATTCAATGAAAAAAGACACTTCAAACACCTCATTGAACAGGATTTTTCCAAATTCAATCCATATTCAAATACTTTGAATCATAAATATTTTCAATATACGTTCGTAAATGTTTTTGATTGAAAAAAGTATGATTTCGTCGTTATTCGCCTATCGAAGAGTAACGTTGGATACGGTCTATATGGTATCACCTAAAAGCCCATTGGATGAGCTTTCAGATTATGGAATAATATACAGGGTGATCCATTTGAAAAAAATGAGTTTCGTCGATTTGGAAATAGCGAAATTCGGTCCTTATTTTAAAACACCCTGTATATTTTGAGTGAACCCAAATAATGTCTGGGTTTCTACACATACTTTTAGTATCTGTATATCCAGTTTTGTTTATAAATCTTCGAAAATATAGTTTCCCTGAATATTTTTCAACATTCATGTTTTCTCGTCAAATTTGATTAAAATGTTAATAACTTGACAACGTCGCATCTGATCTTCAAGAACAAAATAGGTTAATGAATTCCACATGAGAGACATTCAAAAAATGAAATAATATACAGGGTGTGCCATTTAAAAAAACGATCGATTCTTTCACCCCGGATTCGTGGTGCACCCTGTATACTAGAAAATAATTTTGAAGGGTAGCTTATGAAGTCTCCAATAACTTCCGATGAATTGTTTTCTTCTATCTTTATCAGCCGAGCAGCTATGGTCCGAGCGAGTATAAGTGGGCCACCCTGTATGTATCTGATTTAATTCGTTAATTAGGTATTCTATTTCGATAGCGTATGCTAAAAATTTACTGAGGCAAGTTTTTCAATTCATTGAACGTTGTAGCCACTTGTTGCATATTTGACTCCTCCATGGCTTCAATTTTCAAGAGAAATTTCCGGAGTAATGTTTTGTTTGCATCGAAGAATCATTGTGAAAGTTGGCAGAGTCAATAGAGTCCGTCACTATTTCGTGGTCACCAGCAAAATCAGGAATGAATTGGGAAGCTACTTTGAAAACAAATTCCATTGTTGAATAAGTTTTGTTGTCAGTTTTTGCAGCAACATCTATAATACTCAACAATAATTTATCTGCAAGACTAGCAGTTCCTAGAAGAACTACATGACGAAAAAGATTTTATCTCTGATGATCGATCCCGATTCTGATAATTAGACATATTCTTGTAATAGACTTTCCTCTTTGTATAGATTCATTATGGGTCGGCGGTGTTGAGGTCGGGCGCAGAAATCAGTACGATAGGTCGGAACCTAAGTAAGGTCCAGAGGATGGTATGCCTAGCAATAACAGGTGCAATGAGGACGACGCCAACGGCAGCATTAGAAGTAATGCTGGGGCTACCACCGCTCCAGAGCTGGATAAAGAAGGAGGCGATGGCGGCCCACCTGAGGATGCGTGACTCAGGAAACTGGATGAGTGAAGGGACAATAACAGGACATGCAAAAATAGCAGAGTGGGTGGACCAGGAGATTCCCATCCCCACTCTCAGAGTGAATAAAGTGCAGGACAGGCTGGGATAGAATAGGAAGTTCAAATTCACTATCCTAACCAGGGAAGAATGAAGAAGCAATACAGTGGCGTTTCGCCCAGGAAGCTCAGTATGTTACACAGACGTATCCCGTCTGACTGACAAACAGGTCTCGGGCGCAAGGATCTATCTCGAAGGGAGAAACATACGAGAAAGCTACGCTCTAGGAGAATACACCACAGTTTTTAAGCTGAGGTGTTCGCCATACTGGTCGTAGCAGAGAGGCAAGAGGTGAAAGAGGAACCAGAGCATAAGATCTACATCTGTTCGGATAGTCAGGCAGCACTCAAGGCTATCTGTCATCCCAGACCAACTTCAGCCTTGGTACAGGAATGTGGAAATGCCCTCGAGATATCAGTCGAATCAAAAGAAGTTGAACTGGTATGGGTCTCAGGTCACAGTGAGGTGCCCGGAAACGAAACAGCAGACGAACTTGCTGGGGCCGGATCCGCGGAGCCGTTTCTGGGACCGGAGCATGTACTAGGTATAGCAGGAAGCCAAATTACGTCAGCCCTCGATAAATGGGCAGACAAGGCACTCGGAGGATACAAAAGGAATATCACAGGTTGCAGGCAGGCCAAGGAATCCATGGCCGGTCCAAGCAAATCAAGGAGGGAGTGGCTGCTTTGCAGAGACCGTCAAGTACTCCGCCTCCTCATAGGAGTACTCACAGGACACAACAGGGTACGCAGTCACCTATTACTTATGGAAACAGAGGACAACCCCACTTGCCGCAGATGCGGGGAAGACGAGGAAACGTTACTCCATTTTCTCAGCGAGTGCGAGGCGTACGGAAGGCTGAGATTTGAAATCTTTGAAGTAGACAAACTCCAACAGAAGGACTTGATTATACTAGAGTGGATGAACATACTGACCTGTATCAGAAGGTCAGGAAGATTCGTGAAGGAAGCGTGGATATGTGGAGAGCCGGGGTTAGCAAGGAGGGCCTATCGAGGCCTACTTGCTTGGCTACAGCCTCCCCAAATACTACGACAACTACTACTTCCTCTTTGTATACTATATGTCGACCATAATTTCTCAAATTGAATTGAATCTTCTCTATCTTAGCATTTGTGGTTAAGATTTGTAAGACAGATATCATTTGGTATCAAAATTTGGCAAACCATTTGCAAGTCAAATTATTCATGAATAACAATTACTGATATGCATATCATCATAGATTCGATGATGAAACGAACATATTGTAGATTCATGGGTACTCATCACGAATCTTCCTCCTTGGGGGTTGCTCCTGGAGTCCTCTTGCATCTCCTAATATTCCATTATGTTTACTCCGGAATTTGCAGCTTATTGCGCCATCGATGAGTAAATATGAGCTGTGAAGTCTCCATTGGTAGTTGGAACCAGATATGTTCTTTCGGAACTGCATTATATTTATGTATGTTTATTGTTTTATACGCGGATCACATTCGATATAGCTTTCTATGCGTTTTCATGGAATGATTGTTGAAGGTTTCGCCCTAATATTTCGTAATACACTGTTGGCAAAAGATTCTTCGAAGTATTCGGTGTATAAATAACCTCCAATACAGCTGAGCAGGATCGGGAACATAAAAATCATTGTTCCAGCAATGATGAATGATGAAAAGAGATGAGGGCTAGTGGGTTCTTGATTAGTTTTGTTGATTTGGCTCACTTGGAACTCGTGTTCATTTCCTTCTTTGGTGTTCTGGTTTTCCATATCCGTAGCTTATTCGGCAGGATTAAAGTGAATCACGAAAGTAAGGAATTTTGCTATCGCGCACTCACATTTCCCGTTTCATGAAAAAACTCTTGATTCTTGAGTTGGCAGGATTTTTAATTGAGTAGCAGGATTTCCAGATGATGCTGATTTCAGTGGTGGTGAGTTTGATGTTGACTCGAAGACGGTCAACGATAGATTCTGCTTCATTGTCCAATAATCATAATAACCGATTATGCTGGAATGCTTTTCAATTTACTCTGTTTGCTTATTTCGATTATCGACTGGATTAAGGTGCAATGTAAGAGTTCTGCTGAATGGCAGAGTAATAATTATAATTGGTACTATTCACGCTGTAGGCTCACCTCTCGAAATTTCTAGGAAATTGGTAACAAATGTACTGCAACGGATAGGAATAAATACCTTTCAAACCATTCAGCAAAGCAATTATCCAACATCAAACACAATTTACTAATGAATCACAACCATAGAATTCATAACGTCTACTTCACTGTTAATCCCGGAGAATAGATCAATAGAACGCAGAATAACCAATAAGGACTCCATGTACCACGTGATCCATGGCGACCAATGAAGTTTGAGAATGTTTCGAAAACTTTGCGTGCTTGAAATTCACTTTTCCGGTGGCGCTATCTGCCAGCAGAGGTGTTGACTTATAGTAGAGAATATTGACTGTGAGGACTTGCTGATGTAAAATAAATCAATTTGTAGATCCAGCTTTCCGTCTTGAACAACTAGTTGGCCACAACCTAACAAAATCCTAGTATTATTTCCAGAATATAATTTGGGTATTCCTCATGACGCGAGAAAATTGTATCACAGGATTCTAGAGAGTCTTTGAAACTGTGCTTTTCAATTAGGTTCTATCAGAAATCAACTTCCACGCCTGGTATATCTTTGATGCAGCATTGTTGTCAGTTATTTCTGTACGTACCTATCATCATCTTATGAGACTTGAAATTTTGATATGCCGAATACTTATATTAGGATTTTTGAGTTCCATCTGGTTCAATTTCACTAACACCTTCTGAAATCAAGAACGAGAAATTCAGTTACGTTTATCATTACAGATTTTTTGGAATTTTCTCTTCTTGATTCTATGAAGAGAAAGTATGAGTATTATCTTGTTATAAGTGTAGTGAGGACAAACCAGATGGTTTTCCCCAAAATATCACAGCGTTTGAAAATTATCTTGCAATGATCAGGTAATGATTGCTATCAATTCACGAGCACAACGAATTAATAAGAAATTAGGAACGAAAATATATCACGAATAACTAGAATTTTTTTTATCGCTTGGAGCGCACGAATGGAGATTCCTATTGAGTTGAAAAGATATCGTTCATTCCCAGTTGACCAGTTGTGCCTGAATACCCTGCGCAGAAATAAAAATGATGGATAGGATTGTTTATGATTGTCTCTTTGATTTTTTCAGTATTCAGCATTCCTCATCTTATTGGCTTTGTCTCACTTCGCACTTGGAGCTTATTGCACTATGGTTTACTATAATGGTAAACACGGCAATCTGGAAAGACAGATTCAGAATGATTTAACATCGAGGGTGGCTAATTATAAGTACAAAGCATCTCCAATGGATGATGTCCAAAAGTGGGTAAGTCACGATATATCTATCATATTTCATGATCAAGCATATATTCACTTGCTCAGTGTAAATTTCCACTATTAGTCCAATCAAATGGTATTTTCACTTGGAAAAAGTTCAAGTAGTCGGTTTTTCTGTGGTTTTATATGCTTTTGGGAGGTGCTGAATTTGAATCTGAATTTTGCAAACAAAATTTCCTGGAGCCTTCCGAGATATTTTCGAAAAAAACAGCAAAATTTCCGGACTTTTTTCGTTCTTTTGCTCGTAACCCGGAAATTATACGTTATATCAAAAAACCCAAAACGAACTATACTGCCTGACGTGGAAAAGCATGTAACTCATGACTCTCGACTTGTCACTGAATATTTACATCAACTAGGAAGAATATTGTTTTTCTTACTTGCCCCTTGTTTGCTGAGACTCACCAGCTTACTAATTGTTGAAGCACTCTCTTCTTCTCATTTACCTGGAGTTGCTCAACAGTAGTAGGATTTTTCACTTCATCCTCATTTTCTGAGCTCTGTGATAAGGTGGCAGGAGACAAGAAAATATCTCGCAGAAAGGAGAAATGTGAGCTATGCACTTTTTTGCTAGGCGATCAGATGCCTCATTTCCTTGACTCCTAGAAATCCACATGAGCGAGAATTGATTTTGATACTTATTCATGGATATTGGCTCATATGATCCAAATCATATAAGTTGAAAGGACGAGCATGAGTGTGGCGACTACGACTAAACGACGTCTCCAAGACTACCGAGTGCTCTAACATCAGCCGTTCTTAATTTTTCATGATGACGAAATTCACATGGGCCCGATACGAAATTTAATGCTCTAAGGATATGGGCATGATGCTCTGTCTCCGAGTAATACGTGAAATATGAATTATCTGCGATAACCGACGAGAAACGCTATTTTTTTTAAGGTACTCAAATTTCTTCAACTTTCAACTGGCTCTATCACCGCACCCTTCAGTCCTACATTTATGAGCAATTCCAATTTCATCTAGAAAATTTGATCAGCTCAAACTTTTTTTGAAGCGGTCTTCTCGATATAATGTACGATTTCCAAGTTACGGCTAAAAAAACGAAAAAACTGCGAAAATTTCGCTGTTGTTTGCTAATATCTCAGAACGCTCCAGGAAATTTTGTTTGCAAAATTCAAATTCGAATTCAGCTCTTTCAATAACACATGGAATCACAGAGAAACCGACTACTTGAATTTTTTCCCGGATTGGTCCTAATCGTTACCGTTTTACCTCGCGTTTTACTGAGCTATATGTTTATTTTGCAGTTGAAATGTTGTGGAGTGAAAAGGCCAGAGCAAGAGTACGAGGACTTGGATAAATTCTCGCCAAACGGAAATCAACTACCGGCGACGTGTTGTGATAATTTGCTGATATGCAATTACGATTCGAGCGACAGATATTACAAAAACTGCTTGAGTTCTGTTTATGAACTGACGATTTACACCAATGTTATCATCGGATTCGTATCCCTCGGAATTGGCGCAGTTGAGGTATAGTTTGGATGCGATATGGTGATAATTGATCACTGTCGTGATGAAATATATTTTCTAGAGATATTGCTTGCGATTATTCTCGTCTTGCATACCATTACAGTGTGTCCATTATGTGCGTAATTCTTCGATATCTCGAAATCCATTATCATTAGAGGAAAACTTTTGAAAACAAATTCCTTCTGTTATCGAAGGTTTCCCTTTCGAAGATAATTTCAACAATACAAGGTGTTTTATGGAAACGGAACGACTCGGAGACGAGTTTCTCCAAATAGAACACCCAGTATTTTTTATTCGAAATTCGTTCCGGTAAGCATCAGCTCTATATCGCTGTAGAAAAATTTAATATGGTTGCCGCACTGCCAAGCTATGATTGATAAACCCATTTTTATCACTCCATATTGAAGGGTCATATTGAATTGGGTATGGTATATACATTTATTAAAATTTTGACAATATTTTCAGCACACAGTAGAAGCAAGTTCTCACGTACACCAATCCAGTAATTTTGCGAGATGATCCTTTACAGGGTGCTGAAATTTATATTTTGAAGATTCAGACGACGTTTATTATAATTTTTCTGATAGAACAATCTGTATTTTCCATCACAGATTTATTTCGACATCATTTGCCTTCTCAACGCTGAAAAAAAATCAAAATCGGCTGCGGCCTTTTCAAGTTATGAGTAATTTCCTTATGTTTATCACTATCTCAGGGCTACTTATGAGGCATGGTTCCTTTATTTGAATACGAACAATGGAGATTTGGATTGCGAGAATAAGGATAATATTCTCACGATCAAAATATCCAATTAACTTGGAGGAGGCTAACTCTACATAATGATACAAACAATCTTTCTTTACTACCCAGGTAACAAGCTGACGTCATTTGTACGTCATTATCACGTCAGGCCTGACGTCAGGATGACTTCCAGAATGACCTTCTAAGTCAAAGACGAATGACGTCATTTTCATGTCGTCAAAATGACGTCATCCTAATGGCGTCAAAATGACGACATCCTGATGGCGTCAAAATTACGTGATCTTTACGATTATTCATATCACTGAAATCTTCTGCATGTTTCAGTTTATTTTGTGCTATTTCGAAATTTTCTGTAGGTAATAAAAACACTGTTGCATTAGGGTTGTATCAATATTATCAGACAAGATGAGATTTTTTTTGTATAATTATAGTGATGTTCCTTTACCACATTAAATGCAAAATAATATTATAGGTAGGTACTATAAATACCCGTTTCATAAAATGTTATTTTTATTGGGAACTTATCCTATTCGGATGATGCACTCAAGAGATTTCTCAGAATCCTATGGTATTTCTTCAATGGCGTCCAATTCACATTCTGCTTTTTCGGCATACACCACTTGTCTAAAATAATGACCATGCTGCCATCCTCAAATTCTACTACTTGATATATGAATATGAATAAGTATGACCACCACACTACACCACATAGATAGCCGAATAACATGATAATGATGGCCTTCTATGTATTGTTATTTTGTTGTTATGGTCATCATGGCCGCAACGGCGAAGCGAAAGTGAACGGCTTGGCCACAGCTCCACAGCCGTCTTCTGAAGACGGCTGTTGCTTGGCGCTGGCGGTCGACGTTCGCACGTCTGCGCAAGGTCCGTGCCGACCAATCAAATACAGTTCTCTACGCACTCTCCCGCTCTGATTTGAATTCGCATTCCGGAATAACAACGTTATAAGCTTATATGACATGACATTCGGTCTTATATTTTTAATAACTATAGGGAGAATACTTTGCACAGAAGGTATATAATTAACAATTATCTCAGAGACCATCGAAAACACACATCTCGCACAGATTAGAGGAAAAAATATTATAAAGCATAATATATATTGAGTGACATAATAATATATGTTATATAACATAACTACTGACGTTTTCATACAACAGAGATGGGAAACTTCTTGATTATGAATTCTCCTTGATGTAGATGACTCAATAAATGATGGTCATAATAAGTCATGAAAATGACCATCAGATGACGTCATATTGACGACATATCAAGGACGTCTATATAACGTCATATTAGGTACGTCAAAATGACGTCATTTTGAGGTCATATGACGTCAATGACCATAAATGACCATATTTGACGTACAAATGACGTCAGCTTGTTACCTGGGACGCGGGTTTTGGTTGGGAAATCAGCGAAATATTCGAATCAGTTCAAGATATATCTGATTGTGGCGATGTTAGACAGGTCATTCAACAAATAAAAGAAGTGTAATACGAGTAATCAATTCATAGTCAGCGAAAAATCTGTGAAAGTTGCATTTTGGATCAATTTGTCAAAACCCACTAGGTTTCAAATTTTAACTTGGAGAGGCTGTGAATGTTCCTATTGTGGAAAAATATATAATAATAATAATAAATGGAGAAATCTGATTATACCGTGGCAACGCAATATTTCCACAATACAAATAAATGAAAGAACTATGACGTACAAATTACCACGAAATAGTAGTGAAATCAAGGAAATTATTCATAACTTGACAAGTCCGCAACAAATTCAAATTTTTTCCACTGATGAAGAGGCGAAAGATGTCGGAAAGAATTTGTGAAAAAAAAAATACAGGGTGTTTCATTTGGAAAATTCTAATGAATGTCATCTGAATCTTGAGAGACTCATAATGCAAAATGAAGCTCCCTGATGGAAAACATGAATGTCTCAAATTTACTGAATTAGTATACATGAGATCTTGCAACTACTGTTTGCCAGAAGTATTTCCAAAATCTGAATTAATGAATCTACCATGTCAATTTCAACATGACTCTTCAATAGTGATGAAACTAGCTTTATCAATTATAACTTGGCAACGCCGCAGCCGATCGACATTTTTTCATCGATGTGGAGGTAAACCTCGGCGGGAATGAATTCCGAATGAACAATACTGGGTGCTGCGTTAAAAAAAAATCGTCTCCGAGTCGTCTCGCCTTTATGAAACACCCAGTGATGTTGAGAATATTCTCGAAATGAGCAACTTCAGTAACTGAACAAGTTTTTGCTTCAAAGTTTTTCTCTATGGGTTTTCGAGATATCGAATAATTACGCACTAAATGGACACACTGTATAAGTTTCAATTATATTTATTTCCTAATAACACATGTTATGTCCCAACTCGTGCCCTTTTGTTGCTGAAAATTACTCATCTGGAAGTTTCCTATTCTCTTCATCTTCTGAATTGAATCGAACATGATTAATCAATTGAAAAAACTGTGTACCGGATGACACTCTGAGTATTGGGCAACCTCTGTAACTTCGCATTCGTTAACGGATTTGCTCGAACTTCTGTGCAGTTGTATAAGTAACCATTTCGGATTCGACCATAGTACAATCCAAAATTCCGGACCGGTTTTTCTGGAAATGCCAGCAACTTTGGTTTCTCTGGATATGCCAGCAACTTTTGTTTTTCAAATGGAACACCCTGAATATTCCTCACATATTTCAGTCCAACAAGGCCAACACAAGTGCAATCTCAATGTCAAATGTAATTTTTCCGAAAATGTTGGAATCGAAATTGTTCTTTCATTTTACCTCGTGGATAAATGGGATGTGGTCGAAGCTTTTCAAAATTGGTCCCACATATTAAAATATAGTTATTTATGATATAAGTGCTAGAAGTGACATTTCATTATGTGAGAAGGGAAGTTTGGGACACGACGCCAGAGGCGTAGTGTTTCATCCCTTCGGACAAAATGAAATCACTTTCAGCAGGTAAGTATATCATACACTATTTTTTCTACAAACACCAATAAAAGTTCAAATCAACGCATTCCTATTTCACATCAATTAATTGATTGAATTATTGTTAGTTTTGAATCCAATTTCATCTTATCTATTCATGAAACAAGTTGCCAAGGTACCTACACAAAAACCGAATTTGTTGATTTGTCTTTGTTGAAAACTAACGTCAATGAATCACGAATTATTCTTTCGCGGTTCTTCGTTCCTCGATGGAAAGTGATCAAGAAAATGAATTTCTACTGCCGGAAATTGAAGATGCTGCCAGTGAAACTTAGTTATTGCCTAGTTAGTCAAAGCGGCAGTACGAGTTTTCCTTCTATATATATTCTCTCAAGCATAAACCACTTTCACCACTAGTGCTAAAAGTAATTCACTTTCAGCACCAGTGTCATGAAATGACATTCTAGACACTGACAGCATGCGTCAAAAATAATACTTTAACTGACGTTTGTAGAAAAACATATTTTTTACTGTATAACTCTTTTTTGTGTCACTCATTGATGGATCATTTCAGTTACATCACACATGTCTCTCTAGAACACATATCAAGGAGAAAAGTTGCCATCATTTTGGTATTCTGATGCAATAACAAATGGTACCCATTCAAAAATCAACGACTAGTTTTATGAATTTCCTTGCATCCTTGCACTTCGTATGATTCTTCAAGTCAGCTAAAGAACACAAAATTCATGATTCTTGTCATATGATTGCACTTGTTCTGACATGTTGAATTAGAATATTTCAGAAAATATAGGGTGTTATATTTGAAGAAATGAAGTAGCTGGCCTTTCCAGGAGAACTTGAAGTTCGCAATATTGGATTGTTATGCCAATGAATCTGAAATGTTCGCTTATATAACTGTATCAAATTTCAGAAGAAATCCGTTACAGGGAATTTTTGAAAAATTGGTTATTATAATTAATCGTTCAGTCATGTAGCTAATGCAAGATATATACAGGGTGAGTCATAATTATTAGTATACCTAGGCTAAGGGCGGATTGTTTTTATCAAAATATGGCGATAGAACCGAATGTTACTTGATGGAATATTGCTGTGGAAAATGAAACAGACCGTTGAGGTTGAATTTTTTTTCTTCATTTTTCACTAATAATTTCACTGTATATCCATCAATCGTCATCAAAATTGGCCCTGGGGCATAGTTTTATACAGGAAATATCAGTTAATATATTATTCTATTCATTGTCCAGAATGCGCCTCGCGAATGATTTTTGATGATGAAATCAACTGATACCTTCATTCGTCAAAATTTTGAATAGAGAATATGAAAGAATCATAATTAAAGAGTGTGCTTTGGACTGCCAAGATAATGAATTGTGGTGCGAGTTTATAGTCGAAAGCAATATTTTATTTGGGCATATTTGGTCCTATTGCCATATTCTGGTAAAAACAATGTGCTCTCAGCCTATGTCCCGATAGTTATGACACCCCTGTATTCCTGTATATAGTAGAAGAGTCCACGACACAGAAACTAGATCAATGAGACTCTCAGAGGATATTCATATGATTAGTAAAGTAATTCAAAGCAAACCACGAAATGGCTATGCTGCAATACGAGAAACCGGGCAACGCAATTCAAAAAACTAATGATAATAATCAAAGAAATCCGGTTTCTAGTATGATGAGTGACGCCTCCTACCTAGGTATATCTAGTATAACCGATCTCAGTAAGGAAACTAGAAGAGATTCCTCCCCAATTTTCAAAATTCTTAGTCATTCATCCCTAGATTCAACGGAAATTCTGCGATACATAACGGAAAGTCTCATAAGAAGTAGAGCAGATGTTTCTATAGATCTACGGACATTTCTCCGCGAATTTCAAGCTCAAATATGTCGAAAAATTTACTCTTTCGAGGTCATCCTTCTACGACGAGTAAGCTCACCGGAAGCTACATTCGGTGATACTCATCGATTCATTTTGTTTCAGCTGATTGCTGCTCTCCTTGGAATTTGTTTATCATGTTGCATATGGAGAAACCGAAGCGTTGCTGTTTGGAGATAGTGATGTTGAATTCACCTGAGGATCAGTTTGTTATAACGATTCGAATAACTGGAGATCTGGGAACCCACCATAAACAGTGTGTCCCACCTTGAACTTGTCACACAAAGTGAAAACATTGAACAGAACGGGAATCAACTGTCTGTCATTATGACTGTTATTATTGCGAAATAACTCTCACAAAATCAATGATACCCCATTCAGAAAGTAATAGTTTTGTTTTATTCAGTTTTATATCTTCATCATTTAGCATTGATATTGTTTATATGAGAATATTATAGGTGCTAGACCATATTAACACATCAGTATAATTATATTCAGATAGATATTGTATTCATCTGAATAGGATAAATATTTGTTAATATTATATGGAGTTTGTTAAAACTGCTGAGTTTTTTATAGTATCTGGCCAACCAAGTTACTTCTGCGTTTGTAAACGGATATTTTTGAAAATACTGTACACTTGAATGAACAACCATATTGGATTTGATCACATCACGGAAAAATATGACGAACTTCCGGTTCTTCCAGAAATGCCAGTAGCTTTTTTTCCAAATGCGAAATACCCTGTATATCTTTACATATTCTAGTTTAACAAGTCAAAATATGCAATTCTCATGTCAGATGTAATTTTTTCGAATAAGTTGGAATCGAGATCGTTTTTTCATTTTACCTCGTGGATGAATGAGATGTGGTGAAGGTTAACAATGAGTCCCGCACATACTAGAGGAACGTGATTTTTTCGGAAAAATGTTTTTTGTTTTCCCATCATATTTTGATGATAAATTCATTTTTTTCAAAAGGAACCATGAACCATCTACATGTATCTCTAGGAAATACATCTAGGCAAAAAACGGTCATATCATTTTGTATATCGGTACAGTGAGAAACTGTTGACATCCATAAATCAACATCTAGTTTTATGAATTTTTGAATCTTGTCAAAGAGGTTGCGATTGTTTCGACCTGTTGACTTGAATATGTAACAATAATCAGGGTGTTCCATTTGGAAATACCAAGTTGCTAGCATTCGTCAGATGTCCCAATTGATACCTAAACTGTTATGACTTCGGATAGAACTTCAATAGATAATCTATATGTTTATATGAGTATGATAAGTGCCAGAATATGTTCTCTTCATGCCATATAATTTAATAATAAGATATCATGAGTTCAACGTCCTATATGAACGATCTCAGAATGTCCTCGATAAGATTCAGAATGTGTCCTGAGGAACATCAGGACTTCAGATAGACATCCTTCATGAATGTTTTTAACGCAAGCGGATGATTATTTTTTTTTCCATTGTCCTAGGAAAATCGTCCTATGGACGTCCTAGTCGGTACGTTCAATATGTTGTCCCTGCGAAAAAGTTAACTCATACCTCACCAATGATCGAATGCCCGTAGGCTACAAATACTCCTCATCATTGTCCGTTCGGTGAGTCCATTGGACATCCTTGAGAAACTTCTTTAGGATCTATTGGGGACCTTGAATCGTCCATCAATTCAACTGGATTTCCTCATCAGTTATGGAAGGTCTGGTCCCAGAAAGGAGTTTATTCAAATTCAAGAATATTATTATGTTCAAGAATAATTCGTACGTCCCAGGAAAATACTATTGACATACAATCAATATTCATCAGGGTTTTATTGATAGTTCGTCCTACGGGGTGTCCTATACGGAAGTCCTCCATGGTGCTTGATGAGGAATACTGTAGAATATGAGTATTCGATAGTTGTCCCAGGGACATCCCATCATCGCGGTAGCAAATTCGAACGTCCTGTGAACGTCCTGAATGTTCCGACGGGGCGTCCTAATGATTTCCATAGCATGATATTGTGCTATCAGGGTGAACACCGTTACTGAATCATCAATGAGTTGACAAAGCTTTTTGTATTTCTTATCCCAAACGGAAACAAAACAATATTGAGTGTTTTTACTAGCGTGCGGAAGAGTGCACTTTTTCGCACTTTTTTAGTGTTGGAAAAGAAAGTTTGTCAAGTTTTTGGAAAGATTATTGCCATTTGATGATTTAATAATGATAAATAATTTTTCTTCATGTTTTCTTTTGGATTTTACCTTACGCTAGTAGAAAAAATCGGGTTTATAGAGGCGATTGTACATGTCAATAAAAATAATATGTTACCAAAGTATATGTATGTATGTATATACAGGGCTTTCATTTCAAAACTTACCACCCTGCATATCTTCTGATCTGCGAAGATTACATTCTTAGGAAAAAACAGGTCGATTCAGATATCGAGGGAGAAGTAAAATATCAGTATCAATTGAATGCCATGTTCATACCCTACACCCCCAGACACCCCTTCTCTGAAATTTCAAATGGAACTCCCCACTTTGAGACACATGGAATTTACAATAATAAACAGTGTTATTTATAGCATTCAGCGAAATAAATATTTTGTCACAACTTTTCAACAGCTTCTTTGATTCATTTAATTTTTTCATGGAATATTATGCACTCCAACATCAATAGACTAACTCACACAGAATTGAAAAAATCCAGGATCGTACTTGTGAAATGTTGCCAGCTATCAAAGAGTCCACTCTGTATATGGTTTCAGTGAACAATGACATATTTTCTGACAATCAGAACAAAATATGTTGGTGCGTCATCCAGCTGAGAATGGTATACCCTACTAGTTCCTTTCAGAACCAACTAGAATGATTTTTTTATTACGAATCCTGTCTAAGAAGAAATGCAATTTTTCAGAGCGGTATTCGAAGCAATTGCCCAAAATGTCGTCCATAATATTCTAGACAGTAGAACAGCCTATTTTCGAATTCTTGACGGACTCTTTGAACCGTTTCCCGATTGATTTGTCTGCATTCTAAAATGATTCTTCTTTGAGTTCGTCAATTTTTTCTGGTGGAGTCTTATGAACCATTGCTGGCCATTCTATGGTACCTCTTCTGCCAATCCCCATTCAAATTGTCTTCAATGAAGAGTGATCCAATTATCTTCCATTTTCTAGAATATCAGCCCCACATTGATTTTCTCAGGAATCTGAGTATGGTTCTGTCGAAATATTTGTGGATTTCCATTGTCTCAGAATCTACAATAATGTTCATTTACGAATTTGTTCGAACGAAACGTTGATTTATCACTTGTTGAATCTTTCCAGACATTTTTTGAAAAAATTCGATTCTGTGGTCATGATCGCCTTCTGTAAGTTGCTGGTGAATTAGAATTCTATATGGGAAGAATTTATTCAGTTTCATCACTTCAGGTATCAAACCAACCGGAATATTTATAGTTTTCGACACTTTGAGGATAGAGTTCATCGCATCCATAGCAAAGTGGCCCAACACTTCTATCTGAACAGCTTCATCAAGAACTCTTGGTTAGATTGTTTTTTTATTGCAAACGGATCCTGATGTCTTTCATTGAAAACTCTAGGCGCTCTTCTAGTACAACGATTTTCAGCTCCATAAATAAATATAATTTTTATTCTTTCTTTTAATGAATACACCATTTTGAAGTATCTGTTGGTACAAGATATCGATACTAATAACAATTCAACATTATCTTACTGCCGAATATTTCCGATAGAGGCGAAAAAGAAAACTCAAATGTAACAAAAACTACTTCGAATATTTTTTTACAGAATTCTATGAAAAGTTTACCAATACAACATTGGCGTACTCCATCACGATTTATCTCATTATTTTCGATGATACCCTGTAGGTGAATTGACAGATTATTCAGCAGGAACAGTGAAATCAAGAAATTAGGAACTGACCTCTTCCACGACAAGTACGGTCCTCAATTCCTTCAATTTTGTATACGTCAGTCTATAGGAACTGGTGCGTATAATGTTTCATCAAAAAATTAAATAATTCAAAGAAACTGTTGACAAGTTATGACCAAAATATAATTTTTTGCCCAATCCTATGGATCACTCTGTATATATTATTGTAGAAGAGGAGAAAACATTTTGGATGGCCATGCGGTATTTCCCTCATCAGGGGCAGCTGTTCGTGATAGAAGTATGTACAGTTCCTCATGACCCACCCTATATGCAAAATGAATTATTTTTCACCTGGTTGATTTGATTATTGATAGACCTTCAATTTCATGTATCTCGAAGTAGGGGGTGCCATTTGAGATTTCAAAGTTGGGATGTCTGGGGGTGAAGGAGATGGACAATTGATACTGGCATTCTACTTACCCCTCGATATCTAAATCGACCTGTTTTTCCCAAAAACTGTAATCTTCGCAGATCAAAAGGTATATGTAGGGTGGTAAGTTTTTAAATGAAAGCCCTGTGTTCCTTTTCCCCTTCATGATGTTGGGTCACAGTGTATCTGGAGGGTAGAGTGAATTGATTGGAATTATTTACGAATTGATGGTTCAATCCAAAGTGTGATTCATGAAGTTGGCATCATATGGAAAAAACTCATGATGATATTTCATTCCGAAATTCGACTTGAGCGTTAATTTATGCTAATGCCTATGCACGTGACTTTCGCTACATGACAAAAGATCAATTTCCTCAAATCAATCGATCGAAATTAACCTATCTGTTGAAATTTCGAGAAAATTTATAGAAAAGTTGTTTTCATCCAAATTTTACACATGAGTTTCGAATTTGAACGTTTTATTGCAACTTCAAGTTCTTGATATTTTTGATATCTTTTATTCGGAACTGTACTAAACTTCAGTGAGATACGTAGCAAAATTTGATGATAGTTCGATAGATAACTTTGGCAACATTTTATTTCTGAAAAAATCAATTTCAATAAATGATGATGATAGATGATTGTTAGCATCTAGCAACTAGATGCGCTACTGCTCAGTGAAATGTGCTTAGATCAGAGCCTATGACAGACGTGTGTGGAGACTGGCTCATACAGTGTGCGGCAGGCAGCCGAGTTAAGAGCGCGTGAAACCCTTGTCCATGTCATTTGTGCTCCTGTTTATTGAATTATAACCATAATATAACATCAGAAGTGGTTGAACTCATGCCACCGTGAAGT